TTTCTTTCTGCACAAGTAAAAATCTGTCATTGACAAAATGTGAATAGGATGCTTTCATACAGACTATTCCATGTTCTCTGGTATTTTCCACTGCCAGAGTTGCGGGCACAAACCCCATATCCACTTGTATCTCTCAGTCCAGCCGATCACTGGTGAGAGAAAGGTTGGACAAACTGGACAAGAGAAAGTCAAATGGGCTCCCAACCCATTAAAAACTGAACCAAGTTCTAGGTCCCAGAAGCACGGGGACCCTTGCGAGGTATTTAAAGTTGTAGAGAGAGAAAGGAAGTAGTTGCCCTGTGGGGTCTCTGGGTCAGATGTTGTTTTCCATAGCCTCTCTCCAAGCAGTTCTAACAATCTCAATCCATAATTTCAAAACCAAACTAAAAAATAAAACTTGCTAATGTAGGTTTGTTTTACGATTTTAGCTCTGTGGATGTTATCTGTAACTGTAATGCTTTACAGAGCCTTACAACCGAGCATATAGCCCTTGAAATCTTCAGCCATAATAGAAAGCTTTTTGAAGGGCCAGGAAATTCCACTCAGCCCAATGCCAATAAATACTGAATGAATAAGTAAGGGTCTTCAGTCTCTGGATCCTTGAGTCTTATAAGGACTGCTTAAGCGAATTCTCTAGGTACACAACCTATACAAAATCTCTTCTTGAAAAGGATTAGCAGTAAGTGGCTAAAAAATAGAACATTTCTCAATGTTTCTGCCCTCCAAAAGGTCAGCACTAGAGTTCAACTCTCCTCTAATGCCTCATTCACCAAGTGATGCCAATTCTTCTTCTGGGGAAGGCATAAAAAGTAGCTCCCTCTCTGGAAATGTAAGCAAACCACTTCTGATTCAGGTCTTGAGTCATTAGCATCCCCCTTGTCCCTATTCTCTGAGCAATCTTCCTACCAATTCCATCCCTCTCAGGTACCTTCTAAAACGAAGGGAATTCCTCCTTCCAGGAGATACTGCGCAAAGGGCAGTATTACTCATAGCAGCCTAGACCCTACAGGTCTCTCTCTCCCCTTCCCTATTTCAGCCATTTTGCCCATTCAGGATGTGTTTTTGCAGGAAGAGTAAGTATAGTTCAAGGTTTGAGGAAGCGGTACAGTACTTCTGACAGAGGGTTGTGGCAAGATAACACCAGTGGTTAATCTTGGGTACAAATGAATGCATCATGGTTTATTACACTGTAAGGAGGCAGTTCGGTGGTGTGGGCTCTGGAATCATGCTTGAGTTCAAATACAGGCTCTGCTAAGGTCATAGGACTCTGGGAAAGTTGCATAACCATTCAGTGCCTCTGCATTCTAATATATATATATATATATATATTCTATTTTATAGAAAAAATATATATTTCTATTTTATAGAAAATATATATATTCTATTGTATAGAAAAAATATATATTTTTATTTTATAGAATTTTTTTCACTCTGAAAAGTCATTTACTTACATAATGACAGTAATAATATTTATAAGTAATATTAAAATCACAGTAAGATTTAAATGAATACTGGAGAATAAAATACTATTTTAAAACAAAATGAATAACATAGTACCATATATTGCATTAACTTTATGTTAAAACTTATTACAGTTTTCTCACTATTATGATTTATGTCATGACCATTCTTGGAAAATACTGTAGGAAGCCTATTAACTTTTTAAAAAATGTTTAATTTATATGTAATCAAGTGTCACCAAATTAAGTTCACTGCATTGCTATTAATTTTAGTAGTTTTTTTTTATTTAAGAGAATCTTATGGATATTCAGATTTGCCATCAGTCATCACCAAATTTGCCTTTTTTCAGTTTAAAAATTATGCTAATTTTTTAATCTTTATTTTATAGAATATTTCTATAAAATATTCTATTTTATAGAAAAAATATGTATTTCTATTATATAGGAATATATATATATATATATATATATATATATTCTATTTTATGGAAAATACAAATGTTACTGCCTACCTTACAGGGTTGTTGTGAGAATCAAATGACAGGATACAAATCTGGATAGAGTGAAATCGCTAGACAGTAAGCACCAACTTTGTTAGCTATTATTAGCACCATGTATATATTTTAAAAGAATGAGGTAATTCTCTATGTACTGACTTTGAATAAAGTCCATGACAGTGTTTTTCTGAAAATGCTACAGAATAACATACTTAGTAGGAGTCTATCTTGGAAAGAAAAAAAGAAACACATGATACATATTCATGAGTGCATCCAAATAAGTCTAGAAAGGCACACACACCACTCAACACTAAATCACAGTCATAAACCCCAGGGAATGCATGCGTGTGTGTGTGTGTGTGTGTGTGTGTTTGGTGGGGGGGGAGGTTTCCTACATTTGTATAAGTACAGGTCTTTGCTTGAATTCACAAGTTCGTACTGATGTAGGTAATACTGGGGTCCAGAGCTGATGGCCAATAGGAAATTCTTGAGACATCTTCAGTGCAAAATGGTGGTTTTATTAAAGCACAGGGACAGGACCCATGGGCAGAAAGGGCTGCACTGGGGTTGTGAGGGTTGGCGATTATGTCAAGTTGGGAGGGGGTTCGGGATAGTGTAAATCTCTAAGGAATTTTGGAAACAAGTTTCCAGGAGGGGTTAGCTATTGTTAGAGAAAGGTCATTTATTACAGTCTAATAAAACCTTAGTCATGAGACCCTACGGATGTGTATCAGTGGGCCATATGCTGGGGGGATGACTGCTAACATGTATCTTGGGGAATAGAGATAAAGGAATTTCCAAAGGAATTTTTATGTTAAAGTAGACTTACAGGATCCTGGGTAGTTGGACTAAGATCGCCTCTTGCCCTTAGTTAAGCGTCGACATCGAGGCAGTTGAGTTTTCTAGAGGAAGGTCACTGCCTGTTTCAAGGACTTGTCAATAGACTGTAAGCAGCAAGGAAATTTAACTTTTTCTTTTGCCTTTGTTTCCCACATCATGTACTATGTATATAATCAATTTTTAAAATTAAACATTTTACAGTGGGCTTTCTAACCTTCAATTTGAACATTTCTCACTTCCAGGTCTAGAAAAAGGTGAACTTCTTGGAGATAAGGAAATGGAGGCCCACCTAGGAGGAGGGAGAACCTTGTAGTCCCATCTATCCCATCTACAGGTCTCATTTCAGATTCCCTTACAGTCTCTAAAGTCCTTGGCACATTATGCGCCTGCCATAGGATCCAAACATTCTGAATCCGGTTGTTTTATTCCCCTTTCCTTTTCTTCCTGTTTGAGGCCTTTCTTCTATTGCGACCATGTAGCTTTGACATGTGTTTTAACATCTTCCTTCCTCTCAGAACTTTCTCACCATTTGCTTGTCATTCTGTCCCTCAGACTGGTGCCCCTGCCTTGGGAAACCCACCAGAGTTACAACTAGCCAGAGTGACAACTAGCCAGGTAGTTCGGGGTTTTTGGCAGGCACACAATTGTAGGATGAGTGGAATATTTTGCTTGCAACGCTTCTAAATGGGCTTTTAAGCCTTTTTTTTTTTTTTTTTTTTTTTTAATCTCATTCAAGAAACGGTGTTTGGTATGTTTGGGCACTTTTTCTTTACACAGGTGCTCATTTCTGCTTTGGCTTTCTTCTCCTGGAAGTTACAATGCTATCTCGTACCTCACCCCACACGACGTTCTCTACCATACTTGTCCTTTATTAGGAGTTAATTTTTGTTTTAGCACCCGGCGTGCTCACTAGTCTTCTCACCATTTTTCACACTCCCGTCGCCTATCCCTATTCACGTTTTCTATTAAAATCCAGGGAGAAAAGATCATATGGTGAAAAGGGAAGGAAAAAAGGAATTCCAAATTCTAGTTAGGACGTCTTCCCCGCCGTCTTTCGCACCGGAACCCGGCGCTTCGGGAACCATATCTGCCCCGGGGTATCCGGGCCACCAGAAAAGGGTCAGCATCAAAGCGCCCAGGCGTCGGGAGAGCGGATTGGTTCCCGGGCGAACCAATCAGCGAGCGATGCTGTTCGCGGATCTGGGAGGGCCAAGATTATAGAGCGGATGGAGTTAAAGGAAAAGGGCCAGGTGTGCCAGGCACACGCGTTCTGCGTGCACTTGTGCACCCATCGGGTCATTGTTAAGCCTGGATCTCTGATCTCCTAAATTCCACCCTCCGAATTTCCCATTTCATAACGCTGAGTAGGGTGAAAAACATCACGTATCCTACCATTCATAAGAGGGTCATTAATAGTCAATGGCGGAGAAGCTGGGGGTCGGGGTTGGGTGGGGGGAGGCCATTAAAACCCTTCTCCTTTCCCAGTTCCTTTCCAGATCGACAACCTAACTGAATCAGTTCTTGAAATAGTAAATCACTCAAACGTTCGCTTAATCGCCAAAGCTGATTACCAAAATGCTATCATTAGACACCCGAAATAAGTTCCCCCTCCCCGTGGGTTGGGAGAAACAGTACGGGCATTTACCGAACGCTCAGGCTTTTACTACCTGCTAAAGGAGAAGGGAGCGAGCTCTTAGGCTAAGTCAGAGAAACTGAGCCCTTCTGAAATTTGCAACCTCGCACACGGACGCCCCCCCCCACAACCACCGCCCAAGCGCAGCTACAGCTCCTCGCGACTTTACCCCACAAACTTCATGCGGAGGCGCAAAGATTTTGGGGAGGGTGGGCGCTGATACCAGATTTGCCTGCTGTGCTTCAAACTTCACCAGAGCTCTTCTACGCACTTTCTTCCAAGTGTCACAGCCCCCGGACTCACGGACCGGTTCAATCTTAGCTTTCCCACGGTCCTGCGCTGCCACCCACTATCCACCACCATACCCGGGCTGGAGACGCTGCGTCCTTGGGGATGGGGGAAGGGGGAATTGGGGAAGGGCCAGTGTAAAGTAAAGAGGTCCCCGCTGAGGCCTGGACGCCGGCAGCCCCTGCAGGGCCCTGGGGCCGAGGAAAGAGAGAGGAGGGCTGGAACCTTGCGGGGAAGGGCCGCGAGGAGAGCAGGGGGCGCCGCCGGTGTCGCTACACTCACTCTGCGTAGCCAGTGGCCCAGGGCAGCCGCCGGGTCTCCTTGAGGATGAGGATGGGGCGGGCGATGTGGTCTGCGCTGCACTCCACCTCGTCCTGAGACAGCCCCAGGAACTCCGGCCGCCCATAGGGGAAGCGCAGGGGCAGGTCCGAGCCTCCACAGCCGCCGCCGCTGTGCTCGGAGCCTGAGCTGCCAGCCATGATGCCGCCCATGAAATTGGCCACGGCAGATTTCACTCGAGTGAGCATATTACTCCGGCGTCCTGCAGCAGCGGTGCGAGCAGGAGGCAGCGGGGGCCCGACGAGGCGCAGCGCGGGGCATGCAGGCTGCGGCGGGCGCCGGGCGCACGGGCAGCCGGGCCGCTGGGGCGCGCCGCGCGGCTCCCGGAGCCTAATGCTGCAGGGGGCCGGGCCCCGGCCTCCCGCGCTCCGTGCCGCCGCCGCCTCCCCAGGCTACACTTCCGCAACGGAGCGGCATGGAGCGGGCCGGCGGGGCCCGGAGAGACGCCGCGCGCTCCGGGAGCGGCTGGGCGACGGCAGCAGGTCCCTTCCCCGCCCTCTGCGCTCGGCTCCTGCGTGAGCGGAACTGAGCCCACCCGGCGAGCCAGCAGAGCCGGCGCGGCTGCTGGCACAGCTACCGCCGCCGTCGAGTCATGTGATAATCAGGCTGCAAGGGCTCGGGCAGCGGAGGTGGCCGGAGCTCAGCCCCTCCCCTGCCCGCCCAAGCGCGGCTCGCACCGGGATCGTGACCTCCTGGGGGAGGGGGAGCCGGGCTAGGTCCGTACCCGGCTGAGGGGATGGGGGCGCTGTGAGCGGAAGGCCGCATACAGGTGTTAGGGGAGGTCACGTGGAGCCGGGCAAAGCCAGTTGAGGAATCCACTCGCTGAGGAGTGCTTGCCTACGCCTTCGGGGAAAGGAAACTTCGGGAGCCCAAGGGGAAAGGGGAGACAAGTGGAATCTTGGTGGGGCGAGTCCACGGTGCGACGGCAGTGGAAATGAGAAACACCTGGTGTAAAAGACTTCAGAGCTGAAACAAAAAACACTCAAGGTTTGCACAAGAATTATTGAAAGTTTTCTCCTAGGCATTTCTAGAATTACTTTTTAAAAAATTTTATTACCACCACACGCATCTTTATCTGCAGACAAGCTCTGTTTTGAACCCAGAATAAGCTAATGGAAAGAAAACAAAAGGGCTGTAAGTTAGATACACGCTCTGTTTTACCTAGTACTTAACTATTAAATAGATTATACAATCATGTTCCTCCAACATAACAACAAAAATATCTTTTTGAAGCTTATTCTGTTTAATTGAGACACTTAATGTAGACTATTTTCTTAAACAGAAAAATGTCTGAAAAGCCAACTAATGAATGTGTTTTATCAGAGGTGACATTTGTTAAATATTGGCTTAATTTTTTTTTTTTGCAAGAAAGCTATATCCTGTTCATGTTTACTTATTCTGTATCCTGTTCCCATGTTTACCCACCATTTAATTTGCCAAGATTCTGTGTTACTGGTGGAGTTACACATTCTGAACAGCTCAGAGTTCAGGAGGGAATACAGACCTTCATTCTTCCAAATGAGTGGGAAGGTGGGGAGAGAGGCCCAGGTGTTGGAGGGAAAGTAATCCTTCCAAGAGGAATTGGAATTTTTGTTCTTAGGTGAGGCCTGAGTAAACCTCACTGACACCCTTTCTATCATATCTATAATATTTTTAAAGTCATTTTTAAATAATATTTTTAAAGTCATTTTCCCCTTTGGCTTTTTCACAAATAGGTACTCCAGTTTATAGCAAATAATTATGTAAAAAAAAAAAAACTTGCAAATGTTCAGTGAGGTACCATTCCTGTCAATGAGTTTTTATTACTTTTCACAGAACAGAAAAATAATTTTAGCTTGGACCTCTTTCTCTAATTTTAAAATTTGGGACAGGATTCTAAATAATTCTAAATAATTCATAAATAATCTAAATGAACAACAACAAAAAAAAAGTCTTCTCAATCTTTGCTTTGCTAAACTATAAACTTCTACATGGAAAAATCTATGTAGTGGCTAAACATCTAACCAACCACATGCTCTGGCATCCACTGAGTCCCACATAAACTTAGAATTCTTTTATCAAGCTTTTGTCATAGAACAATGACCCTTTACCAATGTCCTTTGGAAACTTGGGTGACTAACCTCTATTGAGATTAATTTATTGTGTTCTGACCTTCATTTCACTTTAAGCAAGGCTTTAGTATTTCCTAAAAATAGGATTTCTAAAATTTTCCTGTATAATTTATTTTCAGCTTAAAGTAGTACCTGATCATGGTCAATAAGTAAATAAAATCTGATAGTACAGAACCATAAATGAAAAAGCAAAAGACTCCAAAAATTTCCCCAGGAGATCACTACTGTTAATATTTTCCCTTGGCTTCCAAAACTTATCTCAAATAGGATATTTAGTATAATTGAATTTGGTAGTATTAGCCAGATTTGTGAACCAAAATTTTGTAGGCAGTTCTTCTGTTTCTCTGTCACCTAAGTATTATCTTTCAAGGGAAAGTGTTGATATATCTTTAGCTTTGCAAGGCTAGTTTGTTCTGCAAAGACAGGCAAACAAACTTTCATACCTGTTCTCCTTTGAACATTTCTTTTTTTTTTCCTTTGAAGATTTCTATAGTATGAGTGTTCACCACTAATTAATAAATCTACTACTATCTTTATACCTACCTCAAAGACCAGTGTTGCATCACAGGATTTTCCTGAGAAATATTTTCCATGTAATTTACTCCTCAATTATGTCATTCTTGAAGATCAGCTGGGAAGTAAATTCTGATTAAAATGGGGTGGTTATGGGATGCTTGGGTGGCTCAGTCAGTTGGGCATCTGCCTTTGGCTCAGGTCACGATCCCAGGGTCCTAGGATCAAGTCCTGCACTGGGCTCCCTGCTAAGCGGAGAGCCTGCTTCTCCATCTGCCTGCTGCTCCCCCTGGTTGTGCTCTCTCTCTCTCTCTCTCTCTCTCAAATACATAAAATCTTCAAAAAATAAAATGGGTGGTCATCCGTTTTAGGAGAACCCCAGGAAAAAAAATGCCTTTCATATCTATTACAAATGCAAATTTGGGAGTATATGTGCTTCCAGCTTTAGGATTAGTGATTGCCTGAATTCAAGTGGTGTGAAAATCAGAAACTGAGAGACCCTCAATGTTACCCACTCTATGTATGTCCCAGTCATCAATAGATATGCTTCATTTGTCTCTTTTTTAGTTTCTTTCCCCCTGGAAAATGAGAGTTTGAAGACTTTAACAGAACATTCATTTATAGTATAGCTGCATGGACCTTTTACTTGGTTGCTCTTTATATAACTATAATCTCATTTCCAGGCCTCTAATACCATGGTTTTGACTACACAATGGTTGTGCCATCAGTAAGACTATTTTCAGGAAAAAAATAAAAGGTTTGGATAATTTCTTCAGTGAAAACATCACAGATTCCCCTAAATATTTAATTACAAAGAAAAACCAGATTCAAATCAAAACCACATTGAGATACCACCTTACACTTGTTAAAATGGCCAAAATTAACAAGACCATAAACAATGAGAGTTGGAGAGGCTGTGGAGAAAGGGGAACCCTCTTACACTGTTGGGAATGCATGTTGGTGTAGCCACTTTGGAAAATGTTAGGTCCGTTATTAAACGAAACGAGACTGAAACAAAGTGAAAGTTATTTAAAGCTTTATTTTATGACAAGTATTAGAAGTCAGACTGATTGGCCAGGGGAACGAGATTGAACCAAAGTTAAAGTTATGCAAAGCTCTATTCTATGCCAAGCATTAGAAGTCAGACTGATGGGCCAGGGCCGTCTCCGAAGAGAGCGACCACCCCCAGCTTACAGGCTACCTTTTATAGAGCAAAAGCCTGGCCACACATAGGTGGCCAATGAGATTTGTAACATTGCATAGTCATGTTAGGCCACATGCAGGTGGCCAATTGAATTACAATTTACCCTATAGTAGCTGTTTGAACTAACCTATTACTCTGGTCAGAATTGGCGCACAAGTTTGGCGCCCAAAAGGTAGGGTTTATATTCTTTGGTGGTTAGGGAGACAATATGTTTGGAACACTGAAAAAAAATTAAATATAAAAAAATTTTTTTAATAAATAAATAAATGATTTGATTTAATTTAATTTTTAAAAAAAGGAAAACGAATACCTATGGAGGAATAACATGGCAGACATCACATAAAACAAGTGATCAAGTTAAGTCACCGGTAGTGAGACCTATTAAAGCCCTATGCATGCTGATGTCATGCAGTAAAAAGGGCACATCGCTTATGTGGTCTGTCTCCTCAAATCCTCAACCTCACTGTAACCATGACAAAACACGCATCAAACCCCAAGAGAGGATAGTCTACAAAATACTTGACTCTTCAAAAGTGGCAAGGTCCTAAAAAACAAGAGGGACTGAGAAACTGTCAGATTGCAGACAAAGGAGACACACCACTACAATACTGTCACAGTGTGAATTTCTTAGTTTTGATGTCAGCATTAGGGGAAGCTGGGTGAGGGGTGTGTAGGAACAAAAAATTTTTTCAAAAAAAAAAAAACAAAACAGAAAAACAGGGTCATTTTGATTCCAGTTGAAAGCAAACACTTTTTTGGAAGTCAGGCCAGGAGAAGGATGAATTATGCCCTTCCAGGGCTCTCTCTCACAGCTGTAGGTTCATGCCTCCTTCATGGTGCTAATCTCCTTGTTTCGTAACTAGTAGCTTACTGATGTCTTCCTATCAGGCAGTGAAGTCCTATAGAGGAAGAATATTCTTTTTATCTTTGTATTTCCAGCACCTAGCCTAATGCCTAACAAGTAATAGGGTTCCGTTGGTAAATTATTCTTTTAAAAAATTATATTCAGCAAAGAATATGGTTTGTTTGAATGACCAAATCTATGATATTTATAACCTCTGTTTTCTTGAAGATTTTTCTCACTTTATCCCTGTGTTAAGCAGAACTTCTTTACAATCTAATAAGAGAAGGCTTAGCTCCCTTCAGACAATATCTGGATTGTTAATAAATGTGTATCAAGGCATGGGGATCTCTGCTTCATACTGACCTGGTAACCTGTTACAGCTCTGAACAAAAATATGACATTAAATATTTAACATTAACTTATTTTTGCTTCCAAAATAGTTTAGATTCTGGTTTCATATGTAGTAACATACTGTCTGAAAATCCCTGACATTGAAAGGAATATATTTTTCATTAAATGAAACCATTTATTTATAAATAATAATTTTCTTGTGAACCAAGAAATTTAAGCTAAT